TCCACCTCTTCCTCAAACACAAAAACCACCATCACCACATGCAACTCCTCCCCATTCTTTCTCCACACAAACATGTCTTTTGAAACATGTCCAATTACAATATTTGCGGCTTTTGGCACACAACTTTCAACTATTATTTCTAGGCCCAGTCATTTGCAGATTCTGTCATTTGACCCTACACTATCATATTTCTTCATATTCACTTGAAAATATTGTGTGCATCTATTTTGAGTCCTGTTATCATACAAAGAGAGTTCTAAACAACACCATGTTCGTTATTCTTCATAATTTGGATTTAGTCTATCACATGACGTGATCGTTATATCTTGAAATATGAGTGTCGGAGTTTGTTAATACTTGTACTGGACATTATCGTCTTAAGATAAAAGAGTCCAAACTCTTATCTCAATCATATATAATTTTCTGCACCGCATCTCTTTTTTCTATATTATGAATGCTAGTATAGGGGTGGAACAATGATTAATGAGCTGGGGACTTGCAATTTTTTTGAAAGAGGACTTTGACAGCCGATTGTCATTTAGCATCAAATAGAATTTTATTTAAATTGACATTAGAGTTAGCGGAATCGAAATAAAATTATTAAATTTATTTTAGTAGTCATCTTGGAATGGCTATTCAAGTCCATTGCTTGATAGTTTTCATGTTGATATGTGTTAGATAGCTAGTCACGAGTTCTTCAAAGTGATACCAAGATCTAATCTTGATGATCGAGAAATATAGGTAAAAAAAAAGTCAAAAGTGTGATTGTCACGAATTAGATTTATTAAATTCATTTCGTGCAACCATTTTTATATCCATTGCAACTTCATCCTTTACGATTTTACAAATTGAAAGTTATTTTACGAAATATGTCATGAGTACATCAAAACGTATCAAAAATATTTCCTAACGTTCAGGAATTTTAATTCAAAATTGACCCAGGTAACTTGGTGAAATAGGGCAATTGTAAATTTTCTCCAATTTCTTCTTTTGGGACCCACACCTGGATGTGCCCTGTGCCAGTATTTAATAGGCAAGAATATTATTTAGTGAAAATTACACCACTTCCTTTTTTTAAGTTCTATTTTCAAAAATAAGATTTAAAAGTTTATTGTACAAAAATAAGGTGATAATTCATTTTTTTAATTTTAAATAATAATATTATAAAACTAAATTAATCTACCTACCCACTCACACTCTACCCTACCCTCCGGCCCATCCCACGCCAAACACATTTTCATTTTTTTCTTCCTTCTTTCTCTATTCTCTATCCTCTACTCTCTCTTCATCACCGATAGTCATAGCAACGACACCACTCACCGCTATGAGCACTAGCACAGCGATCGGCAAGAGAACTGAACTCGCACAACAATGCTCAGTGGCTGCTTAACTAGAGAACTGGCCGTTTAGTGGCGCGTAGAGAGCTGCACGTAGTGGTGCGTAGAGAGCTGCACGTAGCGGCACTCAATTCACTGCTGTGCGAAGCTCTTTGAGGTGGTTTTCAGACCTGCAACATAGTCTATATTTTATGGTAATTAGCATAAATGGTCCCTATCGTTTACATTCATTGCTAAAATAGTCTCTATTGTTTTAAATTTGATATTTATACCTTTATTTCAAACCTTTGTTGCAGAATTGGTCCTTTCCGTCCACTTCCGTTAAATCCTCCGTAAAATGAGGCAAAATAGTTTTGAATTTTTCTTATTTTTGTCTCAATTTAACGGGACATCAAATGAAGTCGAAATATTCCATTCTTAATATCATTTCGAAGTACTCACGACCTAGTTTCTTACATCCCTAACGGCGTGGGAAATGACCAATCATAGCGAAAGTTACCATTCATCGAAGTAGGCCGTTCCAAACTATATTAACGATTTTTCTTATTTTTGTCTCAATTTTGCAGCATTATTATGATATGTCAAACGAAGTCGAAATACTATATTCTTAATACCATTTCGAAGTGCTCACGACCTAATTTCTTCCATCCCTAACGGCGTGAGAAACGACCAGCCGTAGCGAAAGTTACCACTCGTCGAAATAAGCCGTTCCAAAATATATAAACGATTTTTCTTATTTTTGCCTTAATTTTGCGAGATTATTAAGGGATATCAAAACGAAGTCGAAATATTGCATTCTTAATATCATTTCTAAGTGCTCATTACCTAATTTCCCCCATCCCTAAAGTAGTACAAAACGGCCAACTGTATCGAAAGTTACCACTCGTCGAAGTAAGCCGTTCCAAAATTGAGACAAAAATGTTTTTTTTAAACTTATTTTTGGAACGGCTTACTTCCACGAGTGGTAACTTTCGTTACGGTTGGCCGTTTCGTACGCCGTTAGAGATGTGGGAAACTAAGTCGTGAGCACTTCAAAATGATAATAAGAATGCAATACTTCAACTTCGTTTGATATCTCGTAATAATCCCGCAAAATTGAGACAAAAATAAGAAATATCGTTTATATATTTTGGAACGGCCTACTTCGACAAGTGGTACTTTAGTTACGTTTGGCCATTTCGCACGTCGTTAGGGATGAAGGAAACTAGTTCGTGAACACTTCGAAATGGTATAAGAATTGAATATTTTGATTTCGTTTGACATCCCGTAATAACGCACAAAATTGAGACAAAAATAAGAAAAATTCAAAACCATTATGCCTCATTTAACAGAGGATTTAATGGAAGTGGATGGAAATGACCAATTCCGCAACAAAGGTTTGAAATTAGGGTATATATATCAAAATTGAAACGATAGGGACTATTTTAGCAATGAATGTAAACGATAGGGACCAATTCTGCTAATTACCCTTCCTTGTAAACGATAGGGACCATTTCTGCTAATTACCCTTTTTATTGGTTGTTGTTGATGTTTTGTGGGTGGTGGTGAGGTTTTGTAGTGATTTTTATTGGTTGTCATTAGTATTGATAAGTTGTTCAAATTGTTAAATTCTACCGGTCACGTGTTCATTTACACAGGTCAGAGGTCCCTAATTACATGTCATAATTCAATTGTCAAAATTTAATATGCACTTGTTACATGTTATGGTACCAGTTCACAGGTCATTGTGCATATGTCACAAATCAATTTCCATAGGTTACAGATAACTGATTTATGGTCATAGGTCACACTTTACAGGTCACATGTCATATTGCATAGATCACGGATCAATGACAACAAATCATCTATCAATATTAACTGATCACAGATCAGGTGTAACGTGTCTATGTACTTTGATAACATGTCACATTTCATATTGCATATGTAACAAATCAATGTACACAAGTCGCATTCAAAGAGAACTAATTTCAGTTCATTGGATCAATATCATATGTAACAATTTATAGGTCACAGGTCACATATCATAGCTCATAGGGCATAGATCTATATCAACAAGTCACATAACTTCAACATTGTTTCGTAAATTCAAAATAGGAGAATACAATAACAATACAATGTTAGCTGTCACCAATTGTGACTTTGAAACCCTTCATATCTACTTTAGGATGATCACAATTATCAATTTGCTATTATCACCTCAATTTGTGATCGTTGCCTTCAAAAATTCTGATATACTGTGACGATAACTTCCAATTTGTGAGCTCAATATCCGATTATTTTCAATTGCCAATTCCGACGGTGGTAGTCGAGAATATGATAGATCTTTGTGGCTTTTTCTTTTATTCGACAGTGGTCACGATTTGTTCTTCTTTGGAGAGTCCAGTTTGGATTGGCAACTAAATGCTTGAATTTTAGGATGTATATTTAATATATTTTAATTTTTATATATAATATATATTACCTGATTATTGAAATATTCAACCTTCTTTCTTAAAATTGAAATGGTATATAGTTAAGATCTGATATATGTATTGTTCCCTATTATTTATGAACGAAATTTGCCAACCACCACTGCAAAATCAGAAAGCGCCATTGCTTGCTTAAATCAACCATAAAAGGAAAAGACGCCTATTTGAAATAACGTTTTTATAGTTTTAGCACTTTCTCCTCTATTACGTTTTTACCTTTTAATTGTAATTAGTTAGGTTGTTATCTTTTAATCCTTTTTCTTCCCTCTTTCAGCTAAACTGATTTCCCGCTTCTTTCCTACCCTTTGTCTATTTAATCTAATGAAGCTGTATTAGATTTTCAATTAATGAAAACATTTCTTCTCCAATTCGTGATTCCTCTTGGTTTCAATATGGTATCAGAGCAACTCTGACTTTCGAACTCATTGAGAGTTTTCTGCAATTGTGCTGATATGGATGCAACAAATTATTAAATTAATACGAATGTGAATTCATCGCTGAGTAAATCAGCTATCGACGAACCATCTAGCCCATTTTATCTTCACCATTCGGATAATCCTGGTTTGGTACTGGTGTCACAGATTCTTACTGGGGAAAATTATGCTTCGTGGAATCGAGCGATGATGATCACACTATCAGTGAAGAATAAGACCTCTTTCATTGATGGATCTATGGAGAAACCAGATGGATCGCATCCAGAATTGATTAATTCATAGATTAGAAACAATAACATTGTTATGTCTTGGATTCTGAATTCAATTTCAAAGGAAATTTCGGCTAGTACAATTTATGCTTTTACTGCACACGAGATCTGGAATGACCTCAAAGAGAGGTTCCAACAAAGTAATGGACCACGTATTTTTCAACTTAGAAAGGAGCTGATGAACTTGACACAGGATCAAAATTCTATTAATGTTTATTTCACAAAATTGAAGACCTTATGGGAAGAGTTGATCAATTTTAGGCCTAATTGTAACTGTGGAAAATGCACATGTGAAGGAGTTAAGGAGATGAACAAATATCACCAATTAGAGTACATCATGTCCTTCCTTATGGGGTTGAATGAGCCCTATTCTCAAGCTAGGGTCAAATCCTGCTTATGGATCCTATGTCGCCTATTAATAAAGTATTTGCACTTATGGTGCAAGAGGAAAACCAGAGAAAGATAAGTGCACAGGCATTAGGAACTGAAAACATGTCCACTAATGCATCTGCAACATTCTCCATTAGATCTGATGTTGCTGTGAAGCCTGCAATGAATTATGATGTTAGAAACGATGGATATAGATGTGATGTTAGATCTGAAGTTGTGAAACCTATGATGAATTATGGTCCTAGAAATGATGGATCCAAATTTGGAAATACTTTTACCTTCAAGAGAAAGGATAAGCCATATTGTACTCACTGTAAGTTTCATGGTCATTCTGTTGATAATTGTTATAAAAACCATGGATAGCCCCTAGGATTTAAACCAAAGGCCAGAGAAGGTGTTCGAGGCTATTATGCTAATAATCATGTCAATCAGTTTTCCATTAATCAGCATAAGGATCCGTCTAACATGGGAGATTTCTTTCAAAATCTGAACTCAACTCAGTATCAGCAGCTCATGAACATGTTATCTAATCATTTGCCACATGATTCAAGTTCTGATCCTACTGAAATGGAAAGACAACAGACTACAAGTACTACATATATTTGCCATTCGGTATCCGTTGATCCTGTTTTTGCTACTAAGAAAGTTTGGATAGTAGACACAGGAGCAACTAAACACGTCTGATGTAATGCTGAAGCATTTGTAACTATGAGATCTATTGAAAATGCCAGTATTACTTTGCCAAATCACTCCAAAATTTTTGTGAATCTGTGTGGTGAAATCAAGTTAAGTCCTAGTCTAATGCTCTATGATGTTTTATACGTGCCTCAATTCAAGTTTAATTTACTTTCAGTTAGTGCATTGACTGTTGATTCTCAACTTACATTACACTTCTCTCAGGGCCAGTTTCAAATACAGGAGAATTCCACCATGAAGATGATTGGTAGGGGTAGTAATATTCAAGGGTTATATGTTCTTGATACTAGAAATTTCGTTTACCCCATAGCTAAACAAAGGAGGTTATCTTTTGAATCACATAATAGATTGTCTAATAAACCGTTTGAATTGTTGCACAGTGATATATGGGGGCCATATCATACAGCATCCCACACTGGACACAAATATTTCCTGACTTTAGTAGATGACTGTTCTAGATTTACCTGGATTTATATGTTGCATCAGAAATCTGAAGCAGAAGCTGCTATAATTCGTTTCTTTAATATGGTTGCCACACAGTTTGATGCCAAAATCAAGTATTTCAGATTTGACAACGCACATGAGTTGGCTTGTAAAAGTTTTTTTGCTGACAGAGGGGTCATACATCAGTTCAGTTGTGTGGAGAGGCCTCAGCAAAATTCTGTTGTAGAAAGGAAGCATCAGCATTTGTTGAATGTTGCTCGAGCCTTATACTTCAGTCCAGAATTCCTATTTGTTACTGGTCTGAATGCGTGTTAACAGCAGCTTACCTCATTAATAGAACTCCTTCTCCCATCTGAAGACACAAAACGCCTTATGAAATTTTATACAGCAAGCCTGCAGATTATTTAAATCTTCGAGTGTTTCGGTGCTTGAGTTTTGCTTTCACTCTTACAGTACATAGGAATAAATTCCAACCTCGTGCTAGATTATGTGTGTTCCTAGGTTATCCCTCAGGAATCAAAGGTTTTAAGTTGCTTGATGTTGCATCTAAACAGATTTTCACTTCCAGAGATGTTGTCTTCCATGAAGAAACTTTTCATTTTCATACTATAGTCCAATCAGATCAGTTACTTGACCTTTTTCCTGATTTGGCACTGCCATCTCCTAATCTATCTACACTCATTGATCCTCCTAATAGACCTACTCATCAAAACTCCAATATTCAAGAAGCTATCATTCCTTCTCCTTCTATTGAGTTACATCATTCTGATGATCCATATATTCCTGAATTACCGAATGAATTAAGCTCTATCAGTGCATCAAACCTTGAAGTTTGCAAGTCCACAAGATCATTTTGACCTCCCAAATATCTTCACGATTACCATTGTAATATGATGTCCCATACTGATCCTGTTTTAACTCCTTCTCCATACCACATAAGCAATTTTATCTCTTATAAAAATCTTTCCAACCCTTGTAAGCACTTTGCCTTATCCATTTCCTCACAATTTGAACCAACATTCTTTCATCAAATTGTCAAATTTCCTCATTAGTGTGATGCCATGAAACTTAAACTAAAGGCCATGGAGGATAACCACACTTGGTCTGTTGTGCAACTTCCACCTGGGAAGCATGCTGTGGGGTGCAGATGGATTTATAAGAACAAGTTTAAGTCTGACGGGTCATTCGAATGGTACAAAGCACGCCTTGTTGCAAAGGGGTATACACAACAAGAAGGGCTCGATTATTTTGACACTTACTCACCTGTGGCCAAGGCAGTCACTGTAAAAATCCTACTCACCCTTGCTGCTCACTTTGGCTGGCATTTAATGCAATTGGATGTTAATAACGCCTTTTTGAACGGGGACTTATTTGAGGAGGTATATATGGAGCTTCCACTTGGATATGACTTGCTTAGACTATCTAAATAGGGGAGAAATTGGTTTGCAAACTCCATAAATCACTATATGGCCTAAAGCAGGCCTTTAGATAGTGGAATTCTAAGTTTACTCAGTCCCTTATCCAGCATGGTTTCACTCAATCGAAGTCAGATTACTCTTTTTTCTCGAAGGGCTCAGGACAACATTCTGTAGCTCTATTGGTCTATGTGGACGATATTGTGATTATTGGACCTAACCTTGAAGTGAGTGATCAATTCATTAAAGTCCTTCTTACACACCCAGTTCAAACTCAAGGATCTGGGAGTTTTGAAATATTTCTTGGGAATCGAAGTGGCTAGGTCTGCCTCTAGTATTGTCATTTCCGAAAGACAATATACTCTGCACTTGCTTGAGGATGCAAATTACCTGGATTGCAAACCTGTTAACAGTCCTATGGATCCTAAGATTACTCTCAGTCGCCATGACGGGGACCTACTTCCTGATGTATCTCATTACAGGAGATTGATTGGAAAGCTCCTATACTTGACTTTGTCAAGACCTGACATTACTTTTGATGTACATAAGCTCAGTCAATATGTTTCCCAACCTAGAATAACATACCTGAAGGCAGTTCATCATTTGCTTAGGTATTTAAAAGGGCGTCCTGGACAATGTCTTTACTTCCCTTCGCAACTGATATCAGATAAATCCATTACCATTAGAGCATTCTCAGATGCTGATTGGGGCTCCTGTGTTGACACTCGAAAATCCACTACTGGATTCTGTATTTTTGTTGGTGATTCATTAGTTTCATGGAAATCCAACAAACAACCAACCATATCACGTTCTTCGGCAGAGGCAAAGTATAGAGCCATTGCTTCAGCTGTAAGTGAGCTTCTTTGGATCACGCAATTACTGAACGACTTTCAAGTTTGTACTTCGGCTTCGACTGCACTTTATTGTGATAATCAGGCTGCTATTCAGATTGTAACTAATCCTGTTTTCCACGAGAGANTTTCACAAGAGGACGAAGCACATCGAGGTTGATTGCCACTTCGTCCGTGACAAGATCAATACTGGAATGGTTAAGCTTCTTCCTGCGCGTTCCCGACATCAGCATGCCGATCTCTTCACCAAACCATTACCTCCATCCAGTCTGTTTCCCTTGCTGTCCAAGTTGTGCGTCAAAGACATTTACGCACACCTTGAGGGGGAGTATTTGAAATAACGTTTTTATAGTTTTAGCACTTTCTCCTCTATTACGTTTTTACCCATTTAATTGTAATTAGTTAGGTTGTTATCTTTTGATCCTTTTTCTTCCCTCTTTCAGCTAGACTGATTTCCGGCTTCTTTCCTGCCCTTGGTCTAATCTGATGAAGCTGTATTAGATTTTCAATTAATGAAAACATTTCTTCTCCAATTCATGGTTCCTCTTGGTTTCAATAACGCCATAGCTTAATTTTTTATTCCTGTATTCTGCGTCTTTACTCTAGATTTTTTTTGGGATCCCTTCTTTCCCAACACTATAAATTCATGCAGTATCTCAACTCATTTCATCAATAACTACAAATTTCCTTCAGAACAATACAAGAAAATCCTCGTTATTTACTATGGCAAGCATTGTAACCTTTAAACTTAGTAGTTTGCCAAAGAAAGTGTCATTCCCCAAACCCGCAGAATTACCGGGTACGACGCCAATTAACACCGAGCCAACAAGTGGGAATGGAGGACTCAAACAAAAGATGCAATTCAGTTCACGCAGATTAGTTAGAGGCCCTCTTGCTGTCACAACTGATGCTCCTACAGAGGTGAGTAATCGAAAACCTTCATCTTCCTTTTCTCCCTTATCATCGTATATTGTTCATGAGTACGCAGTAGTGAACACGACTGCACTCCGCATATTTTTTGGATATTGATGATCCTTGGTGTCATGATCTCCTCCAGCAACAAGAATGTGGCAGAGAAACCTTAATGGAAATGAAATCAAGTCCATATATCTTGCATGGCTGATCAGGCTCTGTTTGTACTTCCACGTAGTTATTATTTCATTGTCTAGAATACACCAAAAATCTTTCACCATCAATCTCTCCTTTCAAATTTCCGACTTAGTGGTCCACCCAGTATGCACAAGACAAAAATGATTACTTGAATTTATTTAAATATTATTTTCTTCTTCTTTTCTTCTGGTTATAACAAGCTTCCTATCAAGCATGGACACTTGTACTAGGGTAACACGTCCATGTCCAATACGTATCATTTGTTGGGCCATATCACTTTTTCCATACTTAATTTATTTTCATACTCTAAAACAAATTTCAATATCATATCTCGTCTCATGAACACTCTTTAGATCAAAAATGCTACTTGTACACATTTGGTACACAACCCTCTCACATGTGTGTGGGGTCCACAATGGGACCCACACACATGTCAGAGGGGTGTGTACCAAGGTGTGTAAGTGTAGCAAGGTTTCTCTTTAGATGCTTCAAGTTGTGTCAGAGAAGCCACATGCTATTTTTTTTTTTTTAATTTCTGGTTCTTGATGGATGCCAAGTATCCAAAATGTCATGTGTAGTGACATGTTAAAAAGTATAAAGATATAGCATATAAATGTAAAATTTAAAGAATTTAAAATCGACACGTCCTAAAAGTGTTTGTATCCTACTTTATGAAAAATTATGTGTCAGTGTGTTTATGTAGAGTGTACATGTTGCTTCTCAACACACCTCATTATTCGCAAATAGAATACCTACAACATTCATAAATGGGTGGCAAATGACTTGGATTCCAGATATTTTCTTGGACTATAATATCCTGTGAAAATCACTCCATTTGAAAGTTTAAACCGTTGAAAAAGACAATATTATACCTTCATTTTAATTTAATTTCCAACGTATTACTGGGGCTTGCTGCAAGATTTTACTTTGAGCTACTTAATATTGACTCACTTCTTTAAGAATGTTTATATCCTAATTAATGTTAAATTTATATGACCCACCATTGCATTTGTATCTACAATTTTTCTTTTTAAAAAAGGGATGCAATCTACATTGAATTATAGCATCTTCGCTTTCATGCTCACAAAAGCAAAGTAATACTTTTTCATTTCTCCTTGTCCCAGAAAATGGCTTCAAAATCTGGCAACAGCAAGTTGGCAAATTACGTGCCACTTTATGTAATGCTTCAGGTAAGCCCCTGTTTGATGCACATTCTTAAGGAAAGAATGCATTTTAAATAGTGATGCGATGAAAAATATGTAATTAAAAAAGAATAAAAAGTTTTGGATTTGCGTGTAATATTATTTTATTGAAAATTGTGTGGTTGAAAATGAGTATTGAAAGAATACATTTTTTTAAGAATGTGGATCAAACAGGGCCCAAGTATCAAAAAATTCCATTATCAAGCCTTCTGTCGAGTACAATTGCATTTTACTGTACCAAACAAACCTGTAATATACTCTTTGCCCTTTATTCTTTAACGACAGTTGGGAGTTGTTACGAGAGAGAATGAATTCCTGGACAAGGGAAAGCTAGAGAAGCAGCTCAAAGAGCTAAAGGCTGCTGGAGTTGATGGAGTAATGGTAGATGTGTGGTGGGGAATTGTAGAGGCCAAAGGTCCCAAACAGTATGATTGGTCTTCCTACAGGAAATTGTTCCAACTTGTTCAAAATTGTGGATTAAAAATACAGGCTATAATGTCATTCCACCAGTGTGGAGGCAATATAGGAGATGCTGTATACATTCCTATTCCACATTGGATACTTGCGGTCGAAGAAAAAGACCCCGATATTTTCTACACTAACCGATCAGGTACCAGGAACCAAGAGTACCTCTCACTTGGTGTGGATAACCTGCCTCTCTTTGGAGGTCGAACTGCTGTTGAGGTATGACTTGTAAGAACTAGGATTTCGTTAGTAACATAAGATCATCTGCATTATTCGTTTGATCATTTGGAGTCTAATTGTTTGATTTTGATAAATATGAATGCATTTGTATAGATTTATAGTGACTACATGAAGAGCTTCAGAGAGCACACATCAGATTTTCTGGAAGCTGAAACCATTGTAGACATTGAGGTAGGATTAGGCCCTGCAGGAGAGCTAAGATACCCATCTTATCCAGAGACTCAAGGATGGAAGTTCCCAGGCATTGGAGAATTTCAGGTAGGACTAAGGGCTTGTCTGGGAAAGATTTTTCTCTAATTTGTAGCTAAATTGTGACCGTTGCTTTTCATTGTCAACGGTACTTTAAAGTAGAATGTCAGACATGGCAGCCGCAATTTTGGACCATTTTAATGCAGAATGACATTTTTGCCCTTAACATTTAATTCATTTTTCATGATAGGTTGGCATTTTCGGTAATTCATTTTTAGAATGTCAAAAATTGCTGCCAAAATGGGACCCATGTTCAAGTGAGTAACGGTCAATTAATTGCTAAAATTGGAGAAAAAACTCTCCCACACAGACGCTAAATAAATACTAATCTGTTCGACTATGAGTAGCCTAATCATATTGTATGCCTGTCCCCTCGACTGCAAATTGACATTTTTTTTCTGGATTATTTTGGGTATTTGTTACATGTATTAGGTTGCCCTAATATTCCTACTATATGAAGAATTTTATGGGGCCAAATTTTCGATAGTGTGGGACTGGGATGGATGCGAGATCAACTTGTACTCTTCTTGTTCATTAAAGAGAGAATTTCCAGTGACAAAGTGATAAATTGCATGTTTGATAGTGAAATAGTCGATATGTGCTTTGTCTCAATTCAAAGCACAATTGTAAATCGTACAAATTATTGATCAGACTCCCTTCTCGAGTAAATATATTGAGTTCCATTCTAACAGAGGAAATGAAATTATAATTGCAGTGCTACGACAAGTATTTGAGACAAGATTTTAAAGAGGCTGCAACAAAGGCAGGGCAACCTGAATGGGATCTCCCAGATGATGCAGGAACATATAATGACACGCCGGAGAAAACAGGATTCTTCAGACCAAACGGGACTTACCAGACAGAAAAGGGGAAGTTTTTCTTAACATGGTACTCTAACAAGCTATTAGAACATGGAGATCAGATACTTGAGGAGGCCAACAAAACTTTCTCGGGTTGCAAAGTCAACCTATCAGCTAAGGTATGCATTAGCAACTTAAGCTTTTAAATAAGGTCCAAAAAATCATTGCTACCGTCATGGAAAAGTGTTATTCTATCAGGGTCTTTATGAACGTCATAGTAACCTTTTACAACACTCCAATTAAAGTCGACTTTTGGTCTTATTTCGCACTGTGTTTGACAAAACTACAATTCTCCTTTTTTGCACAAAGGTTTCTGGCATCCACTGGTGGTACAAGGATGAGAGTCATGCTTGTGAGCTAACATCAGGATACTATAACCTGACTGACAGGGATGGATATCGGCTGATAGCAAGGATGTTGTGCAGACATTATGGAACCTTAAATTTCACATGTCTTGAAATGAGAAACACTGAACAAGCGACAGAAGCTAAAAGTGGACCTCAAGAACTTGTACAACAGGTTGAACTTTGAGTCAATTTTCCATCACAACTTCTTGGAAAATTAAAAAATACTAATTTTAACAGTTTTAAAACGTTTGATGGGAGTAGCAATTTATGATATAACTCCCTTAATAGTAGATATGCATAATGTCTTGTCATAGTGGGTTCGACATAGGCCATGTGAGCAAAAAATTGGATTGTTGTCAGATATGATTTTCTTGAGTTATGCTGTATAAACAGGCTCAATGGCAAGTTAAAAAATAGGGGAACACTTGTCGACACATGATTTGATAATTTGAAAAAAAAAACACCCAATCAATTGTTGTCATCCCACCTTGTCACCCAATTTCCAGTCAATCACCCTGGCCAAGCAGCATTATTCGATTTTCTTTTACCACAATAAGATGAGTACTTTGGCAATAAATGCACCATATTTTCGGCAGGTTTTGAGTGGCGGATGGACAGAAAATATTGGCGTAGCCGGTGAAAATGCACTTTCAAGATATGATCGTGCAGGTTACAATCAAATCCTTCTGAATGCAAGGCCAAATGGTGTCAACAAAAATGGTCCCCCAAAACTGAAAATGGCTGGAGTGACCTACCTTCGTTTATCAGACGAGCTGCTAGAGCGGAAGAACTTCAGTATATTTAAGACATTTATCGAGAAAATGCATGCTGATCAGGTAAGTACATATAACCTTTAAAGAAATAAATCAGGCTATTCATTCTTCAAATTCTTATTTCCATGGCATTTTTGCAGGATTACAGTCCAGAGGTCACTGATGTAGCTCCACTGCAACGATCAAAACCGAAGATTCCAATTGATGAACTTCTGGAAGCAACTAAACCAATTAAGCCATTCCCATGGGACGAAGAAACAGACATGAGTGTTGGTAGCACTTTAGCTGATTATTTGGACAAATTCTTGGACTTCTTTTTTTCCAATATTCTAAACTGATGCAAATATATGCATGCTGTAAAGATCTTTCGAGTGGTATACCATAATCTGAGTTTCCCACTTACATTTGTACAGGGAAATTTCCGTCTAAGCATATGTATTGAAGAATAAATTTAAATAAATCGACCATTTTTCGAATAGTTATATTAGTTATATGTTTTCAAATGACGTGGTTTTATAATAATAAGTTATTTTTCCAGTAGCTATTTATGAAAATTATATTAAAGATCACCACCAGTCCAAATTAAGTGAATCCGACTTCGTGAACAAAGCACCATACAAAGAGACCACGAATTTATTAGGATATACTTCGAATATCTTCAAAAGATTATTTAAATACAAATTTTTCTCTATTTTAGAGACTCATTACTTAAAAATAAATTCAAAGACATTCTATATTCTAACGTTTTAAAATAGAGAGTGAGTTTACTCTCTAAATTTAAAAAGTCGAACTCATTATTTATTCTTATTTTATAATGTTGCATTTAGTAAAGTACATATTTCGATAGTCTATTTTTTTATGTCATTCAAATCATATTTGATTTGACTAATCCTGGCATATAATAAATTATATTAAATATAAGATGAAGGAAAATCAATAAGCCCATTTTGGGCTCCATTTTTATAAGAACTCATTTTTCAACTACACATTCTTCTATAAAATAATTTTACACGTAAATCGAAATCTTTTTCTTATTTTTTTAACCACTCATTTTCCAACTTTTACTATTCCAAAATACATTTTCTTGAAATAAAAATGGAGCCCAAACATGGGCTAAATGTTTCTTGAAAAAAAAAATGAAGTGCTATTTATAGATAAAGAGTATTTTAGAGATGTTCTCAGTATGGGCTATGATATGCCTGGAATGTGCTTTTATGATTGTAACACACTTAATATAGTAGGACTTGACAAAATTTTTGGATTGAATCGAACTTGAATCGAGCGGTTCTTTTTAAATTAAATACCCGATTGGGTATTTGAATCGAGAACCGACAGGTTCGGTTCGTTTCTCGATTCTCGATTCTAAAACAAGGATCGAAAAACCGAATCTCTTTAATTTTTTTAACTTTTTTATTTTAAATGAGTCAAATTATTTCATTTTTTGCTAAATAAATTTGTTATCTAATTAATTTAAACCAAACCCAAAATATGATTTTTCCTATTTCTAATTTTCAACAAAGTCTAACTTAGTCAAATTTACCTAAAATTTACCCAAATATCTTATTATATTGTAGTGTCGTTTCTGTTGTTCTGGAAAAATTGAATTTGAAGCTCTACTACATCTCTCTTCATTGTTGTAAGCTTACTTCCTCTTCTTATGATTTTAACGAACAAATCTATGACAAACTCAATAAAGAGAGACGCAAAGATATCACGGGATTGAACTACGTGATTTTGTAAGAACTGAGATTGAACATGTCATTAATTGAATTAATGTAGCATTATTGCAAATGTTAAAAAAAATATTTATTGTCCGGAAATCGGGAACCGAGCTCGAACGGTTCCATAATTAAATTTGAATATAACGATTCTACTTACTAAATACCCGAAAATTCGGTTTAGATTTGGTTCGATTTAAAATTGAATCGAAACGTACCATATATAGCCCTATAATATAGTGTGTACTTAGTTGGTATCGGGCTAGAATCGAGTCAATTTACACCCCTATAAGTCTGAGAATCAATTTAAAAGATCCTTCTTTTTTTTTTCCTTTGTGCAACTTAAATAATATTCATAGAATTTTTTCAATGGTCGTGTAGGCCTTTACAAACTTTTCGAGACATAACAAAATGAGAACTTTTACCGTTGTGCTGAAACGGCAGTGCAGTAATTATCACCATTCTCACTCGTTTATTACTTTTTACGTTCCGTAGCAACATTAGTTGGTATAAGTAACATTTATAGGAATTTTTCCACTGGTCGTGTATGCCTTTGCAAGCGTTTCGAGCCATAACAGTGGGAGAATTGTTATCCTGGTGATGGAACTGCATGAATATTGTCGTTATGATCACTTCACACTCTTTTTTGCGTTTCGAAACAACATTAGTTGATGTAAATAACATTAATAGGCATTTTAATTGGTTGTGTACGCTTTTGTATAGCTCATAGGAGAATCCTTATCGTGGTGTCGAAACGATTTAAGTTAGCAATACTGACAAAGAATCTAATTTTGCATTCTTTACGTCGGAAACAACAATGAAATGAACAACCACCAAAATTGAGTAAATTGCACTGTACACATTCTCCCTCTTAACTTAAAAATTTCTTTTCACGAATCGGGCTACCAACATTGCTCAGTTTCTTGCCAATATTCTGTATGTAGTCTTGAGTTTTTTGGCGCGAGGTATCCATTTGATATCCCAGAAGTTCATAAAAAGAGCCACTGCGGAGCATTGCTGACTACGCCGCTTCTAAAATCCCTTTGGGTGATGACCAAAGTGGCGAAAATGGCATAAACTAACCTGGCCTGGGAGGCATAAAGAAGGAGAATTTGAACGTCACACATGGAGAGAAAAAGGATTTTGATGTTGTAGCACCAGTGATACTAGATAATATTATTGAATTAATACTTTTTCATAAGACCTTTAGGCCAAATACTATGTGAGAAGGTATCATTTGGCCTAACTTCCCTTAATATTTAAGAGTCAATTTGTTTTTATTAATCATTAATGTCAAGAAAATATTTTTGTGGCATTATGTCCATTTGGATTTAACGGAGCTTATGTAAGATGCTCATTTGATTCCCAAGTTGAAAATTGTGTGAAATGATTTCATGTATCTTTCAATTTGTGTCAATACGTGGAATTGTTTTTGTTTTTTTTCTAATTGCTATCTTAGAATTGAACTCAGACCGAGAGCTAATAGTTACGTTCTGATTTGGTTATACAATTACATGGAACCAAACGAATTTCATTTACAATTAATGGTTGATTACAAATCTTGAAAAATCCGGTCTAAACCCGATACCCACCCCTACTAAGTACCACAACTAACAAGTAATGGCGAAGTCAAGAATATTTCCTTTGGGGCTCGGCTTAGTTTGGTTTCTTAGCTATTCATTTTTGGTCATTAATGATTTTATATTTTTATTAATTAATTTTCATTTTAATGTCACGTGTACTTTACTCATTGGGGGTAGGTTCTTGCTTATACAATTAAGGAAAAAGCCACTCATCCAGGCTCAAAAACAAGAAACAAAGAGACTGGGTGATGTGTATGAAAATGATTGGGTGTTGTGTGTGTGTCTTTTTTAAACTGTCCAATCCAACGCGACAAGAGTTCCCCCTGGGTTTAAACTTGGATTTGAGCTTGTTCCTGTAGCATTTCTCTACAATTAAATATAAAATAAGAAAACATTGAGCCCCTAAGTACCATAATGCATAAAAGTACATCAAAACATACGAATATGCACCAAATTATACGAATTGTACCACAATGTACTAAAATTGATACCTCAACTTTCTTAAGCAAATAATCACTAATTCTAAATCAACCAACAAGTAACAAATTGCATTTTTATCTCAAAAAATCTTACACTAATGAGGAGCTAATTAAGAAAGATTTTACTTTTTGCAAAACATATTTAAATTTCTACGGTGCCACAAAATCCGTCGCTAATAGTTACTACAGAAATATTCCAATCGACCAACGACCAGATGCTAGTTAAGTTACAATATCCATCGCCTATTCACTAATCGCAGCAGTGACTGTAACATAGTATCCAACAGAAAATAGGCTGTGAACCATACACAAAACCCCTCCAATAGACAGAAAATGGCGGTGCGAGAAACCGCAGGAAGTTCTTGATTTACTATTTGATAGTGTTCCAATTACCAGCATCGACAAACCCACCGTCATTATTATCCTGCAAAAATTCATAATAAAACTCTAAGCCCCTGATTGGTACAAATTAAAATCTGATTTTAATCTCAAATCAAAGTCAACAGTTAATTTTAGCCACACATTTCATGGGATTCACAAATTTTCAATCACACAGTCAATCAACTTTTATCAAAATCTATTAAAAATCTGATTTTAATCTACAACAAACAGGGGCTAAATAACATTAGTTCGAAATTTATACGTGTACAAGCACACGTATAAAAGAATTTTTTTAAACGTATACGTGTAAAAGAATTTATTTATTTTTCTTTTTTTTGAGGGATAAATAATCTTGTGGACATTTTAAATTTGATAAAATTTTCTTCATGATAATTTAAACTATTTTTGAAAATCCATTTCATATGAATTGGACTTCCAAAAAATCTTTGAAAAATTGATAAAAATTTGTTGATACCAATAATTAAAGATGTATCCACGTTTTGAAAACAAATAATTCATGGAATATTAAACTGATGAAATTTAATTTAGTTACTTATATCTTCATTTATATAAATATTTTTGTCCATGATCAATCTTGATTACTGTATTTTATGTGAAAAGCAATTAGTTGATAAAGATTCAAGACTTTAGTGCTATTGAAAAAAAATACATTTTCAATATTAAAGAAAAGTAAAGTAAGGGGAAAAGAAGATTTAAAATGGGACTAAATTAATAAGGGGCATCTGAGGGATTTCACAATTTATTTTTATAAGTGCACCACATTATAATTGCGTAAGAAATTCAAAATTTTTACTAATTGTCACACTTGCGTTCTTAACTTTTTTCATTATATTCTTATTGTCAAACTTCCATTAACTACATTTTGTCCATAATTATGGTTTAAGTCAAAATTCAATTAAGAGTGAGTAAAAAAATATATATTTGGACCGCGTATTTTTAAATACGCAAAAAATAACAATACAAAATTTCGAGTGAATATGTATCTCTTATTTTAAAGTACGTTAACAGAATTTCTAGATGAAAACAGTCGTCAAGGATAACATGTGTTAATTGATGGAAGGTTAATGATGAAAATATGAGGAAAAAAAGCTAAGGACATAAATATAACACTAAATAAAGGTTAAAAATCTTTATTGCATTTAAAATCTAATGCATT